TCACCCCGTGCCAAAAACCAGTGCCTCGTCCTAGGATGTCTGTGAATGCTGAGGGGCCAACGCAGCTCCCCTGTCCCAGGTTATCAGGGTGAACTTTTCTTCCCCTCACCCACACCCCCCCCTCCAACACCCGTGCTCTGCAGAGACCCCTGGTTTGGCCCGAGCCACCTTTCTCTCTCGATTAGGTGTGTATCAGTTGGCACCTCATGGGTGAAGCTTTGGATTAGACTACGAGATCTGGGGGGTTGGGTGGATGGCAGGTTGGACACGAGTCAGCAGTGTTCCCTGGCAGCCAAAAGGGCCAACCGTGTCCTGGGGTGCATCCGGCACCACACGGCCGGCCGGGCAAGGGAGGCGACTGTGTCCTGGGGTGCATCCCGCACCGCACAGCCGGCCGGGCAAGGGAGGCGACTGTCCCACTCCCGGCTGCACGGGGGCGGCCCCCCCTGCAGTTTTGGGTGCTGCAGTGTAAGAAGGACATCAAACTGTTAGAGTGTGTCCAGAGGAGGATGACCAAGATGGTGAAAGGCCTCAAGGGCAAGGCTTGGGAGGAGCGGCTGAGGTCACTTGGCTTGTTCAGCATGGAGAAGAGAAAGCTGAGGGGTGCCCTCATCGCAGTCTGCACCTTCCTGGCGGGGTGGGCAGCAGAGGGGGTGCTGATCTCCTCTCTCTGGTGACCAGAGACAGGACACGATGAGATGGAATGGAGCTGTGTCAGAGGAAGTTCAGGTTGGACATTAGGAAAAGGTTCTTCACCCCGAGGGTGGTCAGTCCCTGGAACAGGCTCCCAGGAAAGTGGTCATGGCGCCAACCTTGTCGGAATTCAAGGAGTGTCTGGACAAGGCTCTTAGTCGTTTCAGGTGGTCCTGCAAGAAGCAGGGAGTTGGACTTGATGAGCCCAATGGCTCCCTTCCAGCTCAAGATATTCTGATTCTACGTGTTAGACTACACAACCGGAGCAGATGCCTGTATTCACCAGTCTTTCCAGTCAGATGGCACACTGGCCACCTCGTTACAGAGGTAACAATTTCTCTTGTGCTACCGAGTAGGATAAAATTTAGCGCTTAACATGTCAGTGTCCTCTTGTACCAGCAGTGTCCATTCAGCACCAAGATGCCAGAGGCTGAAACCAACAGAGGAACCAAACAGTAGCTGGGCATAAGTGAGACCTTGAAACACAGGGAGGCTGGGGGAGCGGGCAAGGAGACAGCACTGGAGTCAGCAGAAGAACCAGCTCGTGAAGTCTGGAACTGGAAAGCAGATTAAAGAAAGGTAATGAAGAAAAAGCCCCAGAGAGGTCTGCAATTATTTGTTAACATCAGTCAGGAAAAGTTGCTTGGAATCAAGACTTTTGTTGAGCGCTGTGGAGAAATTCTCACCCAGTTAGTTTAAATTTTTTAGTCTGGTTGGAGGCTGATGCCATTAGACTTTCTGTGAGACAGTAGTCGTACGCTCCTTTCCCCAGCTAATAATTTATGGACATAGTGGCTCATTTAACTGCATCCAGCAAAAAGGCAGACTCACAGACAATGATTTCCTAAAAGCTTCATGGAAACGCAGCCCCAAATGAAAGCTGACCTCAAGCTGCAGCTCTGAGGCAATGTCAACTGTCAGACAGTGGGCAAGAACTACAATGAACCAAACTCTGGACTTTCTGCTGCTCATCAGTGTGCAATGAACCCTGCTGCATTTAAAGTACAGACATGAGCAAAATCAAATCCATGAGCAAAATCAAATGTTTTGGTTGCAATGACTTTTAAGCAATATTGGAAGCTTACTTGCCAATTTTATGTGGAAAAATCTATACAGACTCACTCTGCTTTGAAAACCAAGATATAGCACATACAATTGAACCAAGAGGACAGCATTAAAAAAAAAAAATTGCTTGCATATCTAAGCATTTAAAGCTTATGTCCTGGTTTTGGCTGGGACAGAGTTAATTTTCTTCCAAGTAGCTGGTATAGTGCTATGTTTTGGATTTAGTACTAGAATAATGTTTATAACACACTGATGTGTTATCATCCGTTGGTTGTTGCTGGGTAGTGCTTAGACTGGCCAAGGACTTCTCAGCTCTCAGCTCTGCCAGGGGCACAAGAAGCTGGGAGGGGGCACAGCCAGGACAGCTGACCCCAACTGACCCTTAAAGGGGTATGCCATACCATGTGACATCATACTCAGTATATAAACTGGGGGAAGAAGAAGGAAGGGGGGGGGACATTTGGGGTGATGGCGTTTGTCTTCCTTGGGAAGCAACCACTACGTGTGACGGAACCCTGCTTTCCTGGAGATGGCAGAACCTCTGCCTGCCCATGAGAAGCAGTGAATGAATTTCTTGCTTTGCTTGCGCGTGCGGCTTTTGTTTTACCTATTCAATTGTCTTTATCTCGACCCATGAGTTTTCTCACTTTTCTGATTCTCTCCCCTATCCCACTGTGGGGGAGTAAGCGAGCAGCTGTGTGGGGCTTAGCTGCTGCCTGTTTTTAAACCACGACAGTCCAGGAGCTACAACAAGCAAAAGCAGCATTTTTTTACTATTAATAAAAAAAGAACAATTAAAAGGCAATAACTCTTCGCATTCCTGAGGGATTATGAGGTGGAAAAATTACCACCACCACCCCCAAGCAAGATTTCCTATGAAGTTAAGACTTTTCAAAGGGTTTTCTACTAGTGTCAGACTAGGAAAGCTGGCTTTTGAATTCCACGTCATGATGAGTATCAGTGACTACCCCAGTTGTCTTTATTCCTTGTACATGTTACAGTGAGTTGTCTTCCAGAAGTATTCAAGTGTAAGAGGCCAATTCTCAAAAGCAGAAATATTTGGAGTGTCTTATTCCCCTCTCCCTGTTGCCATGTTGTTTTTCGAAACCCAGAATTCTCTCAAAGAGAGGAAGACAATAAAAGAGTGCACACTCAATCCTAATAAAGAAATTGGTATTTTGTTTACTTTAAAGTGAAGTCCAGTTAATTTGCCTGTAAAAACAAGTATTTACAATACCGTATCAATATAGCTAGTTTCATTACTTGTAACATTTATGCTGATGCTTCAGTTCTGAAAAGCTTTTTTTGCTTCTTCCTCTGAATTTTGCGTAGCTTCTTTTTATCTTTAACAATTGGCTTTGACTCTGGTTTCACAAGCTGTATTTCCACTGGCTTTTCTTCAGCTGGAGTTTCAAAGACAACTTCAGTGGGATCTTCTTCAATAAGCACCTTACTCCCTTTCTTCTTAATCTTTTGTACTTCCTTCACTTGCTGTTTCTCTCTAAACTTAGCTGCCAGTGACAATCTTACCAGCCGTCGATGCTATAAAAGTAAGAATTTAAATGACATCAGGTTTCAAACAGGCAAGATGGAAGAAATCAGGTATTAAAGGAACAGGTGGTAATTTCTCTGCTTAATTGTCAAAATCCTCAGGGTAACACCATCTTTTGAGTGACATGAATTTTGCATTCATTCAATTTTTACAAAATTACTCTGTTCTCAAATTGTGATCTGTAAGGGCACTCGTTTCTACGAAGAGTCCCAGGGAAAGGCATACATGATTCTCCTGCGCAGACAGACTGTGAGACCAGATTTCAAATTGTTGCTGAATGAAAAAGAAGACAAAGACAAAGCTGCTTACCATATTTGGGGACTGGTAATGGGGATTTTCATACAGAGTTGGTCCTCCAAAGCTGCCTTGGAAGATTTTTATGAGGTTCAGGACAAAACGAGGCCCAATTTCTACTAGAGATGCATCTTCTTCTATTATCTGCAATAAAAAGAATAGTCTCTTCGTTTCTCACTGATTGAATCCAAGTATATGACCTTGGAGGCACCTCGCGTATGGCGATACACAACTGAATTTAAATCCAAGATACAATGCCACTGAAGCTGATAAGCTAGACTTGTATAAACACAGTTCTCTATATAAAGCATTTTTGTTTAGGTTCAAGCAAGCACTTAGAAAGTACTAGGTATTTGTGAATTCCTCCTTTAGAACGTAAGCTCCAGCACACTTTGGGTCAAAGCAGCAAGTAAGGTTAAAGGGCAAGCAAAGCTTAAGCTTTGGCTAGTACTTCCCATTACCAAGACAATCATCAGAATTTAAACCAGCTCTCTCCAGAGATACAGGAGACAGTTAAGTCATTTTAGGACACTGAAATTACTTTGTGCAAGCGCTAGGTGTTGGCATATCCTGATAATTAAGATTCTTGTCATTTTATTTTCATTAATAGATTTGGTATGAAATAACTCCACTGAGCTCCTCTAGAAGAGCCAAAAGAGACCACTAACCTGGTAATTCCGAAACCAGATCCTCTCATCTGTAACGGTGAAGGTGAAAACATGATCCACAAAAGGCTGGCTTTTGGGGTGATACTGTGGTGTACTAAATATCTGTAATAAAAGGCAGTACTTCTAAATATCTGTAATTTAAGAGGCCAGACATAAATGGTTTATTTTTAATTCATTTTAATTTACTAAGATCGCGATCTCAGGTTACATTTCAAAACTCAAAACTTAAGAAAGAACAAGTGTCCCATCAATTTTAAGCACATGACCCTAACCCTTTGAAGATTTTTTGCAAGTTCACAAGTGTAGAACTACTACTTAAAAAAACATTGAAATTTTTTTAAATGTGTTGCCAAAAAACATTTCCAATGCGGAAGAAACACTGGATAGCAGAACTACAGACTGACCTGAATAAACAATTCTTTTAGCAGGGCATAGTGTGGCTCCTTGTCAAATGTCTAAAAAGAAAAAAATGTAAATTTACATACAAAGCTAAATGCAATAGTCATGCAAAGAAAAAAAAAAAAAAAACCACGCTCAACAAAACAAAACCTGTACTTACTGGATCAAAAGACAAAAGGGGCCGTGACCCCCTCAGGCAGTTTCCTGTCATCTTCAATTCAGCCAGTGTGTGAACTACAGTGATGTTTTTAAAAAGATCATTTTAGTACTCACAGAAAACTGTACAGACAAGAAAGCAAGAGTCCAAACGCAATGTCAATCAACTTACTGTTCTGCACTAAGAATTTAGCTGATGGTCCCTGTGGTGTATTTGAAAGCCTGCAGAGAACAGGTAGCGGGGAAGAAAGAAACAAAAAACGTTAGCAACAGCCAGGAGATATGCTGGATTTCTACAGTACACGTCAACCAGTTATTTTTGTACTGAAGCAATTTCAGTTGCTTTTATAGCATTATTGAGTTCCTTTCACATACTTATAAACACTTGCTTTCTAAACAATTTTATAGAATGCTTCTTGCCTACAAAAGCTGATCATGCATTGTAAACTGCCACTACCCGCAGAAGTGCAGGATTAGTACAGATTTAACTAAGCAACACTATTTCATGCATCTTCACGATTAGAGTAAGAAACCTGAGATAGAACGGAAGCATCCCCAGCTACATAGAGAAAGGTAAGAAAACACAACATTTACTTACCACATGTAGAGATCCTGTTTCTTTTTGGCTTCAAAAAAGATGCACTTATTGCAGTTTTTCATTTCACACACCTACACAAGAGAAGCCAAATTAGCTGTTTACAAAATTCTGAAAACATTTTCAAAACCTTTCCACATTAATTTCTAGTATCTTTCCCCTTCCAAAATACAAGCTCAAAAGCAAAGGTCTCATCTTAATAAATTATACCTACTGATCCCCAAACTTCAGCTGAAGCACTTGTTTTGTTGAAAAACCTCATGTATTTATTACCAGGAGTAATAACTTCACTACAAGCAATCTGATAAGCTCTCCAGGATATAAGCATTAGAGCAGGAGCTGTGACATTAGGTTCTAGTTTCAGAACTACCAATGTCCTACCACATTGTTCGGCCTGGCTGCATATTTGCTCTCTGCTTGCTTCAAGCATAAACTGTAATGCACCTTTCACCCATACAGAAAGTCACGTTCTGTTGTATCTCTTCATGACAAAAGTCTACGTTTAATTAAAGGTTTCATTTTGGTTTCATTGATCAAAAGTCAACTTCCTGTTTTAACATGAACACTTTTTGAATATCAATTTTCATCTACGAAGCTACGCAACTCCTACAACTAGCATGAAATCCTTTGAAGTTGGTTGCCTTTTTCTTTTGCACATTGAATTTCCAGAGAAAATAGAACAGAAGCACTAGTTAAATCCTGTATTACCTCATTAATCACAAACAACTGGTCTTTACGGTCCATTTTAGTATCTGAAAGACAAGAACAACATTTAGAAGGCTGGAAAACCAACACACACAAGTAGTACTTTTAACAGTCAGTCCTTATGCAAAAAATTTACTGCTTACAAAAGAGATATTAAGAACAACTACCAAGTTGTTTCAGCCATGATTTGCCATAAATAAATGTAGCAAAAAAAGTATCTGGGCACTTACAGGACTGAGGCCATAAAAGTAATTTCCCAGAAAATATTACGATACAATGACAGTCGCTGTATTTGTTGGCTCAAGAGCGGCTTGGTGTTTGTTTCAGACAGAAGTTTCATCAAAGCAGTTACGTGCCACATTTTTTAAAAGAACAGGTTGTTTAGAAATGCTTAGTTTAAAAGTAATCTGAAAATGTAAGTTAGGGACAGTGCCTAACCCTACCTGCTTTAGAGTGAGGCATCAATGTTCTTAAGTCTTGCATTAGGTGCCTTGTTCTGAAATTAATTCCACGAGAAGAGAAAATAAGCACTCTCTCCTTGTTTTTCCATTTGCCCTAGGAAAAAGACACGGAAGTTAAGCAGGGTAAGGAAGTTTCCACCCTTAAAACTGCTACAACACAGCAACAATGAACGTTTGAACTGTGATTACAGAAAAACACAGTAAGAACATTTATTAACATTATCTTCCAATCTGCACAGAACCACTCTCTCAGCAAGAGTGTCAACTTTTCCTACAGAACACAGGGGTCTAAGTTTTTACACGAAGAACTGCCACCCATCCTGTTTTGGTGTTTTCCTACATAAAACCTTTCCCTCGTGCAAAACACCCAGGTATTAAGAAAGCCATACACAATACTTATTTGCAAAAGGCATCCCCGCTAAATGACCTGAGCTACAGTCTTGAGAGCACAGTTCAGCTCTTCCTACAGACGAGCGTGTGATGGGATCTCAGGCTTCAACATAAGCCAACTGCAGGGCAATTACTGCAGCCTTCTCAGGATGACTCCTAAGTGAAACAGGCACAATATATGCTTTGTACATAACAGAATTACCCGGCTGCCTAAAACACTTTTGAGATTAAGGCAATACAATTGATCAGCATTGACCAGAACAATGCTCTTCGCCGATTTTCGCAGAAATAACGTCGCACGTTACTTTTATTTGTGCTGTGATGATGAAAAAATTACGAATGAGGCCCTCTATCCTGGCTTAGCAGCTGGGCTGCCCCCCGACACCCCACGCACCGGCGCCCCCACCCTGGGAGCAGCAAAGGCAG